CGCCTGGCTGACCGGCGATGACCGGGATCTGGCGCGGCCTGTGCTCAGTGGGTCGGGGTGCAGCGGCCACAGCACAGACCCCAGTCAGGGTGGTTGCCCAGGGGAGGCCCTGAGCCGGGGGGCGGAGGAGACCAGGGTGACCGTCGCCGGCTTTGAGCCGGTGGATGGGGGCGATGTCACCCTGGGCCGAGGTCGGATTTGGGGTGGTCAGAGCCCCAGTCAGGCCCAGTCAGACCCAGTCAGGCCCAGTCAGGCCCACTCAGACCCCACTGAGACCCCAGTCAGGCCCAGTCAGGCCCAGCCAGGCCCCACTGAGACCTCAGCCCACACCCTGTGCACCCCCTTGTTACAGGACATCCCAGATAAACTGGTCACCTGGGGGTGGGGCCTCACCCAGGAGCTTAAAATTCAGCTGAGCTGGGACATGCAGGTTTATTTACAAAAGGGGAAGGGAAAGGAACAACCCGGAAGGAGAAAGCGATACGAGTAACAAACATCTCCCAGGCCAGGCTGACTGGGACCGCAGCAACACACTGGTAGCCGCCAGCCACGCCGTTCAGAGCCTGAGGGCGTCCGCGTGGCCCCTCTCCGCCCCCAAAGCCCCAGAACGCCGCTCAGCTGCCCCGGGGCCCCCCGCTCTCCCTGGTGCCGCTGGGGGCTGCGGTTTCCAGTCCCAGGGGCCGCGGCCGAGCCCAGAGAGCGGAGCGGACAGGGCCCCAGGACACAGAGCTGCTTGAGGACAGCCTCCCCCTCTGCCCTGGGGCTCCGCTGTCCCCCTGCGCCTGAGGTCAAGAGCAAGTACCCCAGAGGCCCCGCACCCGCCTGACCCACAGGCACAGCTGTTGGGGGGCGTCGCCCCAGACCTGGGCTGTGGGGCAGGAGGGCAGCAGGGGCTTGTGGCCCGGCAGGCAGGTCCGGGGGCCGAGCCTGCTCAGCCCTCCCCACGGCCCCCGGTGCAGCCCGGCCAGCGTGCGGTGGCAGGGGAGGCCAGCGTGAGGGCCGCGTGGCCTGTGGGGCTGTCCCCCGTCTGCCCCAAGCACAGGCCTCGGCTGCCTGGTGTCCCCCAGAGCGGGGGGGGGACCCTCGGGCCTCGGACACACGGGGTGTCACCTTCGCAGGTGAGCAGCTGCAGTGGGAACCCGCGGGCTCTTGGACAGCAGTGGCCGAGTGTCCACCCTAGGCCAAATCCTCCACTTCCCGCGGGGCACCTGGGACAGCCACCTGGAAACACCCCAGGACACCCCCTGTCCCGGAGCCAGCACGAGTGAGGGGCCAGGCACCCCCCTGCCCCTGCTGCCTCATGGCGCCGCCCCCCATCTGGGTGCTCTGGCCGCTCCTGCTCCTCGGGCCCTCCCGGGGCTCTCCGCAGACCGGTGAGTGTCCGTGCCTGTGCCAGAGCCCCGGAGTGACCAGGGTCAGGGGGACCCGCAGGGTGGCGAGAGTCTGTTGCCCTGTTCTGGGGCCTGGGCAGGGCTGTGGGCCAGGGGCCCAGGCCCCACTCAGGCGCTGCCCCCTCCTCCAGTATGGGACAGCCTGTCCTGCACCGAGGTGGTGACCGTGCCCAGGGGCCAGCCGGCCCTGATGTCCTGCAACGTCACCAGCCCCTTAATCCACGTCGTCATCCACCTGAGGGTCCCCGGAAAGGACCCCCAGCTCCTCTTCAGGGTGGACGCCCCAGGGGATTTCTCCAGCGCTGGGTGGCGGCTCCTGGTGCACGGAGGCCAGGCCCAGCTGGTCATCCCGGACGCCCAGCCCTCCCAGGCGGGTCAGTACTCCTGGTACCTTGCAGGACGCCAAGGACGCACAAGGCAGACCAGACTGGAGGTGTCAGGTGAGGGGCTCCAGCAGGGGTGTCCGACAGCCCCGGCTCTCCTGCT